AAAAAAAAAAAAAAAAAAAAAACTTAATTGACATTATAGTATACAGCTTATTTAATTTTACTAAATCTGTTTGCTTTTCTCCTAACAAGAGCATAGGTGTTTTACTGTGTGATCTTTGCGATTTATCTCACCTTAGCTATTTCCCCGTACTGTCTTTTAAGGGGCTCATAATTCAGTATTCAGTAGTCCTTAGCTGTTTTCTTGACTGTAGTCTCATCTCAAACTAGCCTGACTGACTTGTTGTCATTAGACTACTTCTTTACATGTGCTCTTTCCTGGTTAGTCCCTTCTACTCAAAAACTGGATGTTCATCAAATCTGTGAGTGGCATTGATATGCTTAGCTGCTTTTGGTAATAAAAATCAAGTATCCTAGGGTTTATCTTGTCTTTTCCCTAATCACTTGAAGCAAAAGTTTTCCTCTGAAATTGGCTGTATTTTGGATTGCTTGGTTATTTCATTTAGTTTGCATCTTAGCTTTCAGGCTGTTTTCTTTGTAATTACCTTTTTTAAAGCATTCCACTGATAGAATTTGGTCTTTTTTTCTTAATACACATTTAAAAAGAGAAGCAGTGGTATCATGACAGATGGACTAGACTGTAACCTATTAACTGATTGTGTATGATGGAGATGCGGCATGGGAGGTTTGAGGACACGAGATGTGTATCTGGGAAAGTGGGAACATGAGTGGACTAAAGGAATACGCTGTGTTTGCTGCGTGAGGTGGAGGACCTGTTTGAGGTGCCTGACAATGAATTTAAAGTGAGACCACTCACTTTTATTGTATCTTTTATTTTAGCCATGTTTAAGCTGAACATATGCAGGCCAGGCATACATAGAGTGAGTTAATCCAGGGTTATGGTTTTTCCAAGTAGATATAATAGAATAAGAGAGACAAGGCCAGGCAGGGTGGCTCACGCCTGTAATCCCAACGCTTTGGGAGCCGAGGTGGGCAGATCGCTAGGTCAGGAGATTGAGACCATTCTGGCTAACATGGTGAAACTAAACAAAAAGTTAGCTGGGCGTGTTGGTACACTCTGTAGGCCCAGCTACTCGGGAGGCTGAGGCAAGGGAATCACTTGAACCCAGGAGGTGGAGATTGCAGTGAGCCCAGGTCATGCCACTGTACTCCAGCCTGGCGACAGAGCCAGACTCTGTCTTCCCCCCGCCCCGCGCCCCCAAAAAAAAGAGACAAGGAAACTATAAGTTTATATGAGATTGATTATCATGGTTGACTAAAATTTAATCTGGGTAAAGCAAGACAAGGGGGGTAGGGTGGTGAAAATGTGATAAAATTAATGGATTTAAGGTCCTGGTGAGATTGAAGGATTGTAGAGTTGTGGGACTAGAGGGAGTGGATTTGGAAGATAAGAGGGTATGTTCAAAGAGAGAATGATGTGAAATTAATCATGGAAATGACTATTTTTTGGTTTGTTTTGAGATGGGGGTCTTGCTTTGTCCCTCTGGCTGTAGTACAGTGTCGTGATCTCGGCTTACTGCAACCTCCTCCTGGCTTCAAGCGATCTCGTCCTTCAGCCTCCTGAGTAGCTGGGATTATAGGCATGCACCCCCACACCTGGGTTTTTTGGTTTTGAGATGGAGTTTTGCTCTTGTTGCTCAGGTTGGAGTACAATGGCACAATCTCAGCTCACTGCAACCTCTGCCACCTGGGTTCAAGTGATTCTCCTGCCTCAGCCTCCCAAGTAGCTAGGATTACATGCACCACTACACCCGGCTAATTTTGTATTTTTAGTAGAGACAGAGTTTCTCCATGTTGGTCAGGCTGGTCTCAAACTCCCAACGTCATGTGATCTACCCACCTCAGCCTCCCCAAGTGCTGGGATTACAGGCGTGAGCCACCATACCCGGCCATGCCTGGCTATATTTGTATTTTTAGTAGAGACGGAGTTTCACCATATTGGCCAAGCTGGTCTCCCAACTGCTGACCTCAATTGATCCACCTGCCCTGGCCTCCGAAAATGCTGGGATTACAGACGTAAGCCACTGTGCCCTGCTAGAATGAGTTTTCAGAAGCCTGGGATGAGGACAAAGGGGAGTTTGAGATACCAGGAGGCCCAGGTCAGGAGGCATCTTTTTCTGTGAGCAGTGTTCATGTTGTTCTTACACTCACCAATGCTTCTATAAGAAAATATGCCTCAGAGTTTAGACAAAAGTACTTAAAATGGTATCATTTCTACTTAAAAACATAGAATGCCCTGCATAAGAACAAATAGTGAAAGGATGAAAATTAGTCTTGTTTTAGGAGCAGTGCTTTTTAAACTTTTCAGATCTTGCCATTTTGTAGATCAGACATCCTTAATCTGGGATCCATGGATGGATTCTCTGAAACTGTATGCATAGTTTTTGTCTCCTATTTCTGGTGGAGGGGTTCACAGATTTCGTTAAAATATTTAAGAACCATTAATATATGTAAACAAAGAACTAGTTACATAGCAAAAATGTCTAGTATTAAGTCTGGATATCAAGGGAATTTTGTGTTGACATGGCAGAAACATTAGCTAACATTCATTTCTTTGTTTTTTCAGGGCTACAGTTTCTGGGAGGATGTAAGACTATGTAGCTTTACCTGAATAGCTGGGGAAGAGAGCCTTTAAGATGCTTAAATGTTGCTTAAGTTAGTTTTAGTTTTTAAAATTAATTTTGCTCCTATTCTTAAATTCTAGTATATGACTCTCAACCCTTCTACTAAGAGGAAGAATACTGGATCCCCAGACAGGAAGCCCTCAAAGAAATCCAAGACAGACAATTCTTCTCTGAGTTCACCACTAAACCCTAAGTTATGGTGTCATGTACACTTGAAAAAGTCATTGAGTGGCTCGCCACTCAAAGTGAAGAACTCAAAGAATTCCAAATCTCCTGAAGACCATCTAGAAGAAGTGATGAAGATGATGTCGCCCAATAAGCTGCACGCTAATTTTCACATTCCTAAGAAAGGCCCACCTGCCAAGAAACCAGGGAAGCACAGTGACAAGCCTTTGAAGGCGAAGGGCAGAAGCAAAGGCATCCTGAATGGACAGAAATCCACAGGGAATTCCAAATCTCCCAAAAAAGGACTGAAGACTCCTAAAACCAAAATGAAGCAGATGACTTTGTTGGATATGGCCAAAGGCACGCAAAAGATGACACGAGCCCCACGGAATTCTGGGGGTACACCTAGGTCCTCTAGTAAACCTCATAAACATCTGCCCCCTGCAGCCCTACACCTAATTGCCTACTACAAAGAAAACAAAGACAGGGAGGACAAGAGGAGCGCCCTGTCCTGTGTTATCTCCAAAACAGCTCGTCTTCTCTCTAGTGAAGATAGAGCTCGTCTCCCAGAAGAATTGCGAAGCCTTGTTCAAAAACGATATGAACTTCTAGAGCACAAAAAGAGGTGGGCTTCTATGTCTGAAGAACAACGGAAAGAATATTTGAAAAAGAAACGGGAGGAGCTGAAAAAGAAGTTGAAGGAAAAAGCCAAAGAACGAAGAGAAAAAGAAATGCTTGAGAGATTAGAAAAACAGAAGCGGTATGAGGACCAAGAGTTAGCTGGCAAAAACCTTCCAGCATTCAGATTGGTGGATACCCCTGAAGGACTGCCTAACACGCTGTTTGGGGATGTGGCCATGGTGGTGGAGTTCTTGAGCTGTTATTCTGGGCTACTCTTACCAGATGCTCAGTATCCTATTACTGCTGTGTCCCTTATGGAAGCCTTGAGTGCAGATAAGGGTGGCTTCTTATATCTTAATAGGGTGTTGGTCATCCTCTTACAGACCTTACTGCAAGATGAGATAGCAGAAGACTATGGTGAATTGGGAATGAAGCTGTCAGAAATCCCTTTGACACTGCATTCTGTTTCAGAGCTGGTGAGGCTCTGCTTGCGTAGATCTGATGTTCAGGAGGAAAGTGAGGGCTCAGACACGGATGACAATAAAGATTCAGCTGCGTTTGAGGATAATGAGGTACAAGATGAGTTCCTAGAAAAGCTGGAGACCTCTGAATTTTTTGAGCTGACGTCAGAAGAGAAGCTACAGATCTTGACGGCACTGTGCCACCGGATCCTCATGACTTACTCGGTGCAAGACCACATGGAAACCAGACAGCAGATGTCTGCAGAGTTGTGGAAGGAGCGGCTTGCTGTGTTGAAGGAAGAAAATGATAAGAAGAGAGCAGAGAAACAGAAACGGAAAGAAATGGAAGCCAAAAATAAAGAAAATGGAAAAGTGGAGAATGGGTTAGGCAAAACTGATAGGAAAAAAGAAATTGTGAAGTTTGAGCCCCAAGTAGATGCAGAAGCTGAAGACATGATTAGTGCTGTGAAGAGCAGAAGATTGCTTGCCATTCAAGCTAAGAAGGAACGGGAAATCCAGGAAAGAGAAATGAAAGGTAAAATTTCATGCTGAGAGAAAAGGGGAAGCTCTGTAGAAGATGGTAAAAGAAAGGAAATTACTGAGGTAATGGTGGGATCTGTTTGCTTACTTACTTCTGTATGTAATAACCCAGCACCTATTGGTATGTATTTTATTTTTTCTTAGTTCTGTTGATAATTTCATAGTTTAGCTGGAGTGTTCAGCCTGGCATTCTGATTAGTTAATAAGTTAATGTGATATTGGCATCTATTCTGGGTTTGATAAAAGACCAAATCCACAGAGACATAGTGGAAGCAACAAAGAACTTGGGAATGGACTGAGCTGGGTTCAGGTCCTAGCTCTGACTTAGCTGTACAGTGTTCCTTTG